CACCACTGAAATTTGAGAGCCCAAAGTCCACCACTGATGTCTTCAGCTGAGCTGGGGTTGGGGACTTACTGGAGATCTGCTGCATCCTAAGATCTGCTGCATCCAGGCAAATCTTGCCATAGGCTCACCCATTTACATATAAACACGTGCAATTTGTAGGAATTGAAGAAAGCCAACTGCAATAACAGTGGCAGAAGCTTTGGCAACATAACCAACACCCATCAAAAGTTTGACAGGGGCAGAAGGAGGCTATTTTTTACTTGGCACTAAAAGTATGTTGAGACGCGGGTGGCGCTGTGGTCTAAACCACTGAGCCTAGGGCTTGCCGATCAGAAGGTTGGCGGTTCGAATCCCCGTGACGGGGTAAGCTTCCGTTGCTCAGTCCCAGCTCCTGGCCACCTAGCAGTTCGAAAGCACATCAAAGTGCAAGTAGATAAATAGTACCGCTCCAGCGGGAAGGTAAATGGTGTTTCCGTGTGCTGCTCTGGTTTGCCAGAAGCGGCTTAGTCATGCTGGCCACACGACTCGGAAGCTGTACGCTGGCTCCCTCGGCCAATAAAGCGAGATGAGCGCCGCAACCCCAGAGTCAGTCACGACTGGATCTAATGTCAGGGGTCCCTTTACCTTATAAAAGTATGTCAGCACATGCACCGGGCAAACTTCATTATGGAACGCATTCCACAGATGTTATTATGCTAATAATAACCACAACAATGAGAGCAATAACAGTAAGCAGAGTGCTCTGGATGTGCTCCTTTCATTTTCTTTTTAAACTGGAGCAGACATGGTACTCTTCCACAGCATCCGACTGTAGAAACAGCACTTGACAGTGTTTTCCGGCTGTGAAAGATATCAGTGGTGAAATATGTTGAAAACTTCACTTACTACCTAATAAAAAGTCCAGAAATGAATGAGAGAATGTCAAATATTTTGCCAACATAAAACATTGCACACTGAGCAGGAAAAGAGAGAGAGAGAGAAATGACACCTAGAGTTAATGTTTTGAAATACTTCAGAGTACACATTTTTTTTGTCTACAGGCTGTTTTGGAAGCAACTATGCAGAAAACAACAAACTGGAAACGGTGTGTATTTATTTATTTATTTATTTATTTATTTAAAACTATAGGAGAGATTTTTTTGTTTTTTTAAAACATCATCAACAACAACCAAGCCAGAAACAAAATTTGTTAAACATAAATATAAAAATATATTCAATTTATAATTATAATATAATAATAATATTTTTTTTATTTATACCCCGCCCATCTGCCTGGGCTTCCCCAGCCACTCTGGGTGGCTTCCAACAAAACACTAAAATACAATAACCTATTAAACATTAAAAGCTTCCCTAAACAGGGCTGCCTTCAGATGTCTTCTAAAAGTCTGTTAGTTGTTGTTCTCTTTGACATCTGGTGGGAGGGGGTTCCACAGGGTGGGTGCCACTACCGAGAAGGCCTTCTACCTGGTTCCCTGTAACTTGGCTTTTCACAGCAAGGGAACCGCCAGAAGGCCCTCGGTTCTGGACCTCAGTGTCCGGGTAGAACGATGGGGGTGGAGACGCTCCTTCATAATTTACTGCTAGTCAATATCAAAGGAGTTTTCCTACAGCGTTCATTGTTGAAATGCCTTTGCCGAAGTGGATAGCTGAGGCATGTGTAACGAAGGGGAGCAAACCTATACACAAGAAGGTGGCCTAAGTTAAGATTATTCTAGATCCAAACACCGTTCAGGAACAAGATTACTGCCCGCTGATCAGGCCTAAGCCTTTCAGAATGAAAGCAAGCCTTTGAAACGGACTTTTTCTGCCGGATCACTTGACTGAGCTGAACAGGGTTAGGATCCAGCTTAACTTCCTTATACTTGGTCCCGCAACACCACACCATTGCACTGAAATGCTCCCATTTTGAGATGTACCTTGGTTCAGAAAGCTTCAGCTCCGCCAGGTGAGGCCTGGTTGGGGACAAAGGAGGATTTAAGGGACGACAACTGGTTCAGTTGCACTGGGTGAGAAGCTTTTGGCATGCTACAGCAGGCACCACAACTATGAAGTCCAGCAGAAGGCAAAAGGTGGGAGGGGGCACCGGATTTTGGCATCCCACAGAGCCCCACTGAAATTTGAGAGGCCAAGGTCCACCACTGTTGGAGACATAATGCTGGCTGAGCCAAGAACGTTTCCAGCTCAACTGGCGATCCACTGCATCCTAAGCTGCTCGCTCCAGTGGATCGTATTGAAGGCAGTGAAGGTCCTGTGTGAGTGTCTGGAGGCGGTTGGAGGATGGATGGCGGCTAACAGATTGGGGTTGAATCCTGACAAGACAGAAGTACTGTTTATGGGGGACAAGAGGTGGACAGGTGTGGAGGACTCCCTGGTCCTGAATGGGGTAACTGTGCCCTTGAAGGACCAAGTGTGCGGCCTGGGAGTCATTTTGGACTCACAGCTGTCCATGGAGGCACAGGTCAATTCTGCGTCCAGGGCAGCTGTTTGCCAAATGGAAAAAAATTCCTACCCGGTCCCTGACTCAAGACAGGCAACCAACCAAAGTCCAAAGCAAAGCCAAAGGACACTTAAATTAAAGGGAGGGTGGGCGGGTGTTCGGCAGCACGAAGCAGGAGCTTGGCACACGTCGTGCTGCCACTTTTATACTTTTCCCCACAATCACCCTTCAAAATGATTGGGCAATAAGGGCGATAGCTCCACCCATGCCAGGGTGGGGTGGGATGAACCAGTTTGAGGGTCTGCCTGCAACAGGACCATCTATTAAGATGATCCCATTTGCCTGTAAATTAAAAAAAAAATGTATAATATTTTCTGCAACACTTGTAACTTATAGGAAGCCCACTTTTAGAAGATGGAAGAAGAAAAATGTTTCTCCCCTCTCTTTTTGCATGGGTTAACTCCAAGACAACTGGACTGTTCCAGGGACCCCAGTCCAAACGGGCCCTTATTCCATGGAGTGCTAAGCACCATGCTAAGTTGACCCTTGGTGATTGGAGAAAACAATAGACTGTGTGGTTAAAAATACTCAGAAACTGTATACCATCACTGATTATGTTACACTGTCTTTGGTGGTTTGCACTTCAAAGGAGATGGAAATACTCCAATTCCACTTGTCTCCCAAATTACAGTCTAATTAACATATAGATCAGCCGGCTAACATTTCTGCTGGAATATGCACTCCACTTGCTGTGAAAATACAAGGACTCTTCCGGAACCTCATCACCCACTTGAAGATTGTTAATCTTTTCATTCTGCCTTTTGTTTGCAATCATATATATATATATATATATATATATATATATATATGCACACACACATATATATTCAACAGCCAAGGCACCTAAATCTGAGCAATCATTTGAGCACTATTAATGTTCCAGTTCTGCCTCTATTTGCTTAGCTGCATATATTATGCATAAGGAATCTCAGTCCAAGGATTTATCTAAATTGAATGTGCTATAGCAGATGACAGTAAGGGGATTTCATTCAAAATTAGCTTATGTCTTTTTAAGCAGAGAGAATTATCCCCGAGTCCCATGAAATAATGTACAGTAGCTTCCAATTATACCCAGCACCCAAAATGTCCACTGCTCGTCCAGTGATGTCTTGTCGGCAAATGAAATTCCATCCCTCCTTGTGGAAGAATTTTGTCTCCAGGCAAATATAACCAGCTCCCTCAACCGCTCCTCATAAGGCTGGGTTCCCTGACCCTTGATCATCTTGGTCGCCCACCTCTGCACATGTTCCAGCTTGTCATCATCCTTCTTAAAGTCTGGTGCCCAGAACTGGACACACTATTCCAGGTGGGGTCTTACCAAGGCAGAATACAGCTTTATTATTACTTCCTTTAATCTATGCTTACTTCTGTTGGAAGGAAATATGGGGGTCATCGACTCCAACCCTCCTGCAATGCAGGAATTTTTTGCCCAATGTGTGACTTGAACCCACAACTCTAAGAGCCTCGTGCTCTACTGACTGTGCTGATGTCAATAACCCCTCAGTCTGTTAGCCCCCACCCCCAAAGCCTTGTGTTGCTTTTTCTTTTTTTTTCTTTTTTAAAAGATATTTATTAGAGTTTAAGTATTACAAAAAAAGGAAAAGAGGGAAAAAAAGAAATACAAGCAATAAACAATCACAAAACCTCAAAAACAAAAGGAAATACAATAATACAAAACATCAACAGTACATTAAAAAAGAAAAAAGAAAAGAAAACAGAAACATTTAAAAAACCCAAACCTTTAAAAAATAGAAGGAAAAAAAGAAAAAAGAACAAAAAAAGACCCCGTATTTTCATATCCTTATCTTTCATTTGCTTATTTCCTCGACTTCCTCACACCTCCTTTTTTGTATTCTAGTTCAATTAATTGTTCCAGCAAATCCTTTCCCTCTTTCTCAAATTTAGTTCCATAATTTATCTTAACGGAATTTAACCTAAAGTTTAACCTTTACCCATTATCAGTCTATTCATACTTAATTCTTTATAACATTTCTACTAGAGTCATATAACTTCTTTCCAGCATCCTTCTAACATTCATTAATTTTACAATATTTCTGTAAATATACTTTAATTTTTTTCCAATCTTCTTCCACCGACTCTTCTCCCTGGTCTCGGATTCTGCCAGTCATTTCCGCCAGTTCCATGTAATCCATCAGCTTCATCTGCCATTCTTCCTTGGTAGGTAGATCTTGTGTGCTTTGCGATAAGTATTCTTGCTGCTGTTGTGGCGTACATGAAAAAAATTCTGTCCTTCTTTGTGTTGCTTTTTCTGTGCTTTTCCATATAGCTCAATATTTCTCTGGGTCTATGGGTCTTTCAAGAAGTGATACTGTCTAAAATGTTCTCCCCGTACCACTGTACCTTGTTGTGTTTTAACAGGAGGACCAGCAGCAGAACCCCCAGAGCTCTGCAGTGAATCAGAGTGTCATAGAATCACAGAATTGTAGAGTTGGAAGGGACTACAAGGGTCATCTAATCCAACCCCCTGTGATGCAGGAATCTTTTGCCCAATGTGGGGCTCAAACCGATGACCCTGAGATTAGAAATCTCATGCTCTACCGACTGAACTATCAAGGATTATCTGTATTCACTATTGAAAATGCATAAATAAAGACACTTAAAAAAAGAAAAGAAGACTGCAGGTGTCATGAATGAGCCAGTCACCAGGGAAGGTTTGCAGCTATATCCCAGGGAAGGTTTGCAACCAGCTGAAGGAAGCAGCCAGGAACAGAGAGGGCTAACTGCCAGGCAGGATGAGCAGCGGCTAGTGCCAACTGCCCCGCCCCTTGGAATGGGGGTTGATAAGGGGATGATGGAGAGCGAGCCAGAAACCTGCTAACACTCTCGAGAAGTGCAAAATGCGACGAACAGCGAAGGAAGCAGTTTATCAAGTGGGAAAGAGCTAAGAGCCTCTCAAAGAATGGGGAAGAGGTGGGAGCTGACCTGCTCAGTCCTAGGCCTTGGTGAATGGGAGGGCTCAAAGACAGGAAGCAAAACAAGAGATATCAGAAGCGAAAGTTCAGTTGCTTCTGGTCTTGCAGGAAGCAGTCTTCAGAAGGGTCATCATGATTGATGAGACTGGCGACTTGTTAGAGCCATCTGGAGAACTCTGTTTATTTTTGCAATAAATCTTCCTTTTAAATTAACCACACTTGCTGTCTTTGTCAAGTCGCAAGCCGGGACTCCTGACAGCAGGCAGCATTCTAGATAACCTCATGTTGTGGGACCCCCATCCTGGTTTGTATTGGAACCCTTTGGTGAAGCCAGACAATTGCTTGCATTGTATCCCTGCAAGACTGAGAGAGAAAGAAAGACCTATTGGGATGCCTATACAGTCTATCATAACAACAGAAAGATAGCAAATTCTGGTGCATGTTCTACATCTAGTAGGAAGAGAGTATTTTCCTAAACAATACAGTGGTACCTTGGTTCTCAAACTTAATCTGTTCTGGAAGTCCGTTCCAAAACCAAAGTGTTCCAAAACCAAGGCACACTTTCCCATAGAAAGTAATGCAAAATGGATTAATCCGTCCCAGACTTTTCAAAACAACCCCTAAAACAGCAATTTAACATGAATTTTACTATCTAACGAGACCATTGATCCATAAAGTGAAAGCAATAATCAATGTACTGTGCTATAAAATAGATAAGATAGTATTGTAGATGATGAAAATTAAAATTTTTTCCCTTACTTGCTCTGATGATAGTCATTGTTTGGAGGGAGATGGATTTTTATCCATTTCCGCAGTCACACAATCAATCAATCAGCTGAACACACACAGTCACAAAAACAAATTAACCGAAAAAGTGTTTTCGGTGTTTGAGAACCAAGGCATTTGAGAATCAAGGTACCACTGTATGGAGATAATCTTAGCCTTTCATTAGGTTTTTGGATTGAGTTTGGTTACTTTGGAACAGTTTTCCATATGCTTCCCTTGCAGAAGGACGGGGCTTTGTGTCCACACCACTCAAGACTCTTAGCTAAGGGTTAAGAATTTGATCACGTCAGATGCGGTATTTCAGATTGTGTTCTGCATTTTTTGAAAGAATAAAGTGGGGAAACTGATTCCTACTCAGCACTGCCTTGCATTATCCAATAATTTATCCTTATGAAGGGGTCCATAAATCATTCTGGGAGAGGACAGCCTTCGTGAGGTAATTGGGGCAAAAATGTACAGCTTATAATGTCCTGATATGAAAGAATGTGCAATACATTTTCAGTTGAAGCCACTTATAGTAGTAGCAAAAGAAAAAAGTAATTTATGTCTCGCAAATCTGGCACTGGCTTCCTTCTCCCCTCCCTGCAACATTTCTTTAGGTGCATTAATAATAGATGCTAGATAATAAAATCTAGAAATTTAACATCAAATTGAAAGAAGAAAAAGCCAAGACCTATTTATGTATTTAGACCCCTTGAAAGAGACACATTTCCCTCAGTCATCGTTTAGCAGCTGCTGATGCTATGCATAATATTTTCTCCAGCACAGACTATCTCAAAAGCTCAGATGATCTGCAACGTTGTCTAACTTTTTCCATCAGGGCACAGTTGAACCATGAAGTTCAGACCACAGTGTTCAAGTGTCCAGTCCAGTGCCAGTCTCACCAAGAATACATATATACAGTCATATGTTGGGTTACAGCTGCTTCAGATTGCGGTTTTTTGGGTTGCGGACCGCCGAAACCCAGAAGTACTGGAACAGGTTACTTCCAGGTTTCGGCGGCCGTGCATGCGCAGATGCGCTGAATTGCAACCCATGCGTGAGCAGACGCACAGACGCGGGTTGCGAACGCTACAGGTTGTGAACGTGCATGGATCACGTTCACAACCCAAGTGTCCACTGTATATATTTCCAGCAAAGATGAGCTTTTAAAGTAGCAGTTGGCATGTTTTACAGATGGAAAAGGTGAGACGAGGGTGGCGCTGTGGGTTAAACCACAGAGCCTCTTGGGCTTGCCGATCGGAAGGTCGGCGGTTCGAATCCCCGTGACGGGGTGAGCTCCCGTTGCTTGGTCCCTGCTCCTGCCAACCTAGCAGTTCGAAAGCGCGTCAAAGTGCAAGTAGATAAATAGGCACCACTCTGGCGGGAAGGTAAACGGCATTTCCGTGCGCTGCTCTGGTTCGCCAGAAGCGGCTTAGTCATGCTGGCCACATGACCTGGAAGCTGTACGCCGGCTCCCTCAGCCAATAAAGTGAGATGAGCACCCCAACCCCAGAGTTGGCCACAACTGGACCTAATGGTCAGGGGTCCCTTTACCTTTACAGATGGAAAGACACACCACTATAGGCATAACCTTGTTTTGAGCCGAGGCTGGCTCAACCATTAGACAAAATGAAACAGCTGCCTCAGGTGGCAGATGTTGGGGGCAGCAGCAGTCCCCAGCTGTTCCTCTTGCAGAACCCAACCATTCTGCTCTGTTACCACATGAAGTGCCCTGAGAAGTCTAACTTAGCCTTCTGTCTCAGGTGCTATCCCACCACAGTGAAATATGATTCATTCACTGGTGCTGTTGGAAAGAGGGAGACATCATTTTGGGCTGGCCCTGGTTTTGGCTGGCTGTTTGCATCGCCCCTTTGCCATCCAACACAAATGTGCCCAACCTTTAAAGCTAATTCTCTGATTTCCACATCAGCTTGCAATTTTGTTAAAAATAAAATCTTTATGAAAATTGATCAGCTGGGGGTGATGAGAGTTCTAGTTCAGCAGTATCTGTGTTTCCTTGAGATAGCTCTTTGTTCCATATTTTAAGAAGTCTGCAGCTCATGGATGGCTATCAGCTAAGAATTAAATAAACATAATTAACACCTGGGCAGTTGAAGCTCTGACTTCCTCTATGGGTTTAATTAAGTGGTCTGATGCAGATTCGAATGAGCTTGATAGATGAACCCTCGTGACAAAGAGCTACTCCAGGACATTTTGATTTCCCAACTGTCAGGCAGGGCTGATCAAACTTTCTCTCTCTTTAAATCTCAGTGATGAATTGTTCCAGCCATTTTCCATATCAATAAAACAACAAATCCAAGGCTGGAAATACCCCAAAAAGCCTTAAAAGGGAATTTGTAGGTGTAACTGAAAGTAGGTCAATAAAGCAGAATATGGTTTTATAAACTGCTTGTCTAGCCCACGGTCACCAATATGGTGCTTGTGGGTACCAGTGTATCTGCCAGTATCTCCCATCGCACCTATAAAAGGTCTCAGTTATATCCCCACCCCCTTCCTGAAAATCACCATACTTTACATGAGAGTCTTTGCTCTTCCTGCTGTTTCTTTTTGCATTGGCTCAGCCTATTCTATACTGAAACCATTATGTCATACCTGCACATCAGCCATTTTGTGACTGGCATCCACTATCCTTTCTTAATATTCAAAATGTGCCCACAGGCCCCCAAAGACTGGTGACTTGTAGTCTTGACTATGAGCTTATTGCCATCAAAATACTTTTTAAAAGAAAAAGAAAGAAAGAAAGACCAATAGAGATATTTGTAGGCAATTCTAAGAGATGACAAAACATGGCATAAACATGTAGTATCATCCCAAGCGCAGCTCAGATGCAACCCCACCCCCAGATTTGTCCAATGTTACTGGTACTCAGAGCATACACATTAAAATTGATGGACACAATCATTGTTGTTGTTTTCTGGGGGGATTCAGGGTGCATGTACCCCTAAACATATTGTGAATCTAAAGGAAGAATAATTTTTTAATTTTTTAAAAAATAGATTCTTCTCTAGCACGGTGAATTGTCAGTTCCATTGCTACCCCCAGTAGTGACCTCGTTTTGTGTCATGGTGTTTCCTGAGTCTCAAATGGAAGCGAGTGTTTAATGTGTGAAGTAGGAGTTGGAATCTAGCACGGTGATTGGTCAGTTTCGTTGTTACCACCTCCAATGGCGGCTTCCTTTCCTGGTGTTTCCTGAGTCTCAGATGGAAGCGAGTGTTTAATGTGTGAAGCATTGTGGAATGTGGATATGTCATGTTTTACTGATGAAAGTTTGGCCTCATTGAAGGACACCAACAGCAAGCAGAGGAATCGGGAAGATGGTAGTGACCACAACCTCATGCCAATGTGGAAGTTACTATGAGCTGTCAGCTATGTAATATGAGGCAATGCATGTTCTTTGTACTTTTGTCCATTTACTGTATTTATTCTTCCCAATTTGAACTATAAAATGCTGATTTTTTTGAGTCAAAATGAAAGTACCCCTAAACATTTTTTTAGGGGGGGGAGCACTGGACACAACTAACGTAGGTCCATTAATTTCCCTGAGTAAAGGCTTGTTGAGCACAACCTACTGAAGGGATGATGAGAACTGTTGTGGAATATGCAGGTCTTCTGCTTTGACTAACGATTTGAAGTGAGTCCAGAGATGCTCTCCCCGTTGGGAAGGTCACCAGAAGGTTGGGCTAAGGCACTCTTGGGGAAAAGAGTGTGCAAATCTGTGGGAAATGACTCAGAACTGCCTGAGGTACCTGTCAGCGAGTTCCAGCAACGGAGCTCCTAATTACAGATGTCAGTTCATCTCCAAGATGACTTGAGAATAGTCCATGGTGTGGGTGTGTGGGTGTGGGTGTTTGGAAG